ACTATTACAGTACTTTTTATAGTAGTTTTCGCAGATAAAAGAAATTATATACGTAAAATAGTTTCCTTTGCCATTTTCTCGCTATTATTTTGTTCTGTTCGCTGATTTTAAGTTTAATATGTGAAAAAATTGAAACCAAAAAGACTGATATAGTTGCAAAGCACGAAGAATTAACAAAACAATTGCAAACCTTAATAATCAATAAGATTATTGGAATTAAATCAGTCTTGGTACACTTTTAAACAAGATGAAAGTTTATTGTATCCCAATATTTTTAGGTTAGAAATTTTGTCATACGTGCACGGAAATGCACCAAACACCAATAACTCTAATTCTGATTAATTTTAGGATCAGTCTCTACTTGTCATTATTAGTAAGGTCGCTATGAATAGTGCATGGCAGTATTTCAATAACTCCCTATCAATCATCGATGATCTCTATTCCATGGGCTAAATGTCAGTAGCCAACTGTCAAAGGATTCGCTACAATTTGGCTGCTTTGTCTGTTAAGTTGGCTACACTTTGGCTATTTTTTTACTCAGGCTGGCTACACTCTTAAGGAAATATCTGGCAAGACTGCCTGTCTGCGACGCGACAGTTCTGTCTAAGGTGTAAGGAAGAGTGTACGCGTGATTTTTGTAGTTTTATTCCTGTTTCGTCAATCTTCTTCGCTAAAATGCAAATGATATGAGCATTGACGAAACTTTAAATTTATATCGAAGACACTCTATTCCAATTACCTTGTTCGGTTTCTATGTATAGCCAGCATCCACCACGTTATTTTTCATTTCTTTCTAACCACTCTGCTGTGATGCACACTCAAGTAGTAGTTAAAGCTACCAAGGCGCGTATCGTCAGTCGTTAATACAATTGTAGGGCGCCTTTATGGCCTCCTTGATTGTCATAGTTTTCTACTTCTCCGTGTCAGCGCTCTATTTTGAGGTTATGTCACAAAGATCAATTTGCATCAAATTGTGCTTGGTTTTGAGTTATACCATATTTTATCAGCCTGAAATTTCCTACAATTTAAAAGGAAAACAAATCTTCACAATAGGAGAGCGCTGACGCTGACACGGGACAAGTGTAATCTAGAAATTTTTGAGGGAGAGAAAGAAGTATGACAATCAAGGAGGCCATAGTTTTCTACTTCTCCGTGTCAGAACTCTATTTTGAGGTTATGTCACAAACATCTATTTGCATCAAATTGTGCTTGCTTTTGAGTTATATCATGTTTTATCAGCCTGAAATTTCCTACAATTTAAAAAGAAAACATATTCACAATAGGAAAGCGCTGACGCTGACACGGGACAAGTGTAATCTAGAAATTTTTGAAGGAGAGAAAGGAGTATGACAATCAAGGATGCCATAAACGCGCCCTACAATTGTAAGGACGACTGACGATACTGGCCTAAATAAATAAATCAGCTCGTGCTGATTCATCTGCTGGTGCATCAGTCGACGTCCGCTGATGCATCTGTAGACGCATCTAATGACGTGAATAGGAGGCATAAAAGTGTCAGGAATTTATCATCAGGTATTTGAGTAAGGCCCTATAGAAACCTGAACGAAACTACTGGGTCACTAAATGAGGTCTGTTCGCTGTGGTTAAGGCAGTGTAGCACTATTACAAATACCTGTATGGGGGAAAGTTCTTGATCCGGACAGACCATGTGCCACTGAAGTGGCTTCTGCAAAAAATCCCGATGGTGAGATGGATCGAGCGGCTCGCCGAGTATTATTTCGAGATTGAGCATCATGATGGAATGAGCCATCGCAACGCCGACACCTTGTCCAGGAGACCGTGCCCACCGGAGTGCTATCACTGGTAGGTTCGGAAAGAGGACAGCAAGACTACTGTAGTGGATGATTCCTGGTGGCCTGGGAATAACCCTGAAGACCAGGTCGCCCCACCGTCTCAGGACGTCACGTCATACTGGGCCCAGAGGAACTCTTTGGTGCTGGAAGATGGCGTCCTAAAACGAGCTGTGGTGGTGAGATGAGTCTCGGCGGAGGCTGCAACTGGTGGTGCCAAGGAACCGGATGTTAGACTTTATCCGTCAGCTCCACCAGGGAACGTCAGGCGGACACTTTGGAAAGGACAACCTGATCACCAGATTTGGAGTCCCTCTAGAACTGCATTCAAACCAGAGTAGGACATTTGAGAATGCCTGTGAGAACCTGGGCGTCAGCAAGACCAGAACTACGGCACTGCACCCCAATCGAACGAGCTAGCGAAAAGGATGAACCGGACTATTGGAAAGTACATGTCAAAGGTAGTGTCCAGCGACCAGCGTAATCGGGTCAGGTATCTCCCCATGTTCCTCATGACATATCGGGCTGCAGTTAACGGGCCGGATCCCAGCGAAAGTATAGACCGGGACCCAAGAGAGATTACGCAATCAAATAAAATTGCGGTTCATTCCGCGTTTGCTTGCTATGATCGCTGTTCGCAGACGTGCAAGCAACACGTACAGCTACAAAACGAGTTTAAAAGAAGTGTACAACAGCTTGTGCAAAGTTAACATGTTGTAGAAAAACCTACGAAATGTCAAAAAAACTTACGAAACGTCAAAAGAACCGACGAAATGTTACTTTTTAAGATATGTAATATCCGTGTCGATGAAGGACTCCTGCAACGTCCGTACCGAAGATAGTGGCTATCTTCACCTGGTGTGGCTGTATAACCCTTCCCCTGTCATCAAAGCTGCGACGTTCTGAAGTGGATCAACGACGTCGTCTACGGAATGTGGAAAGGTGCGAAGGGAAGGCCGAGGGTCGTATACTACAACCGACTGAAGCCGTTTGGCCGAAGTAACGAGAAAGCAAGCGCCCACCACCTTCAAGCAAAAGACAATGTATTCGCGGCAGAGTTCCTTGTAGCTTATTCAGAGGAATACGGGAGGACTTGTTTTCGCTGTTTCGGAAATACCTACAGACTGGCATACTGCGTAGCCGAGGACCTGAACACCTCAAGGAACGTAGCTTTCCTATTTCCAGGAGAAGTTTGGATGCCACTGGAGGTTGGAAGAGCAACAGCCGCAGGTTGCTAAGGTGCAGAATGGCAGAGTTGACGATGAGACAGCAACAGCGCGAAATGCGATAGCCATAATAATAATGAATAAGTTGCAAGTGTTGTAATAAATTAGTGTAAGAGTAATACATTCAGACTAACAAAAACGGTGTTTCAATTATAATAGGGTATAATATTTTAATGTCTTGTTTTCCCACGTTTAACCCAGCATTCATGCATGTATCTGGAAAGATAATCAAAATCTATAAAGGGACACTACACACAAATATACAGTGCATGACTAATATATTCTTGCGTGGAAGTGGCAGTTGATAATTCCAAGATGCTGGTTGGTATGTTATATATTGTACATTTTTTTAATTGTGAAGCCGCTTGTGGAGCACTTAATAACGCTAAAGTATAAAAAATTTACTATCTTCCAAAATGGCGAACTGGCAGGCGGTCAAAGTTAAATGTTTTTGTACATTGGATCGTTTATAATTCAACGACTAATCGAAATGTTGTAGAATATTATATCGATCCCCTTCTTTTAGGAGAAGTTATCTGAAATGCATTAAAATATGACACATTCCGATCTAAAAAGTTGTCAGATGTTGAAAATGTTTTTCAAACGGACTGTCCCACGTTTTATGACGCATTAGAATAGATCTTTGCCGAAAAATTTTGATTCAAGCATACTTTAGCGTTTTGGTGATTGGTTGTTGAGTTACAGGCAATTTAATGCATAAAACTCAACTACGACAGCTTGTCAATCCACCCTTTTTAATTTTATATTTTTGAATCATGTATGGTTGTAGAATACGCGTAAGTAGCTTCAAATTGAGGCACCACGTGGCCCATATTCCATTTTATTATAAAATTGTCAAAGATATGGGATCCCACAGCTATCTTGAAATTTTCAACTGTCGCTTTTACCCTAACCAAAAATAATTTCATCACCTCGAATTTCATTTTGCCAAATTAGCTCGTTCTAAAAGTATTTTTGAAAAGCAATGTAATCACGATTTATGTTCGTGGGAATTCTGACGGTAAGATTTTTCGCTAGAGCTTTCCCTCAACAATGTGCCAATGCAATAATATAGATAAAAACATATTTTAACTTTTCGGGGTGAAAATGGCGGCCTAATTGGTCAGTCTAGTGCTTTACCCAACGTCGTTGGCTTTGACCTAGGAATCATAATCTTTAATCAAATCCAAGCGAATAACCAAAATTTCTGTGTTATGTGCCGCGGTTATAATATGGTTCAAGATGACACACGGGTTGATGACGTCAGTTACACGAATCGCTTGAACGCGTTGGTTTTAACCGCGGTTTTGTTGCAAGTTGTTTATTTTAGAAAAGCGCGTATATAATCTCTGATTATTTTTATTATCACTTAATAATCGGTGCTTTTTCGTCTACAACTGTATATGGAAAGTTTAAATAAGAAACCTTTCTTAATATTCATGGGAGAAATGTTTTTTTCAGATTTTTTTTTAATGATGGAACCATGGCTTTGTAGCTGTGATAACTTTCAATTCTCTAAATTTTTCCGCATGTCAAAGAAAACATTTATTGATTCAGCAGAAATGATGAAAAAAGAAATTAGCAAAACCGTATACAGGTGGATATCATCTAGTGAGTTTATATGGCCATATTTTAATATCCTTGTGCTATATGGCTACAAATGATACTTTGTTAAGCATAGGAACTACATTTAAAGTGTCCCCAAAAACCGTAATGAGTATAACTAATAAGGTGCTCCACTTTATGGTAAAACTGAAGTCAGCCTGTATCATTTTTCTCAAAAATGAAGCTGAAGTACAATAACAATATCCAATACCCGGCAAAATTCTAACTTGTCACATTTCAAATAATAACCAGAAATATAAAACTACTCTTGAGTTGGGTAAATACCACAATTTTGCGGTGATAACTATGACATATAACAGCTGATTCGTGACGTCACGGATCTTATAACCAAACTGATAACTACACTCGCTTGAACGGATTGGTAAATACCAACCCAAAATGGTAAATACCATTTCCATTTGGTTATCCGCTTGAATTTGATTTTTGATTCTATCAGCTAATTTCTGAGATTGACACTGACGTTTGTCGTCTTCCTTTAGGGATTTTCCATTTCATATGATTTTATTTATTTTTAAAAACAAGGTTAACTTTTGAAATCCTGAATTGGTTATATAAACATTTTTATCCTGCACAAAGTTCGTGATGTTAGCTAATATTAAAAAGTACTCACCTGTTATTTATTGAAGGACTAGAGATTAGTAGTGACCTTTTTGAAGAACGCAGTTTTCACCTTTTGACAGCTCGTGAAACTACAAAATAACCTAAAAATCTCTGTCAACCTTCAGAAAAATTATGAGACATCAATATGTCCCATGAAAGAATTTTTTATTTTGCTCCACAATAATTCAAAAAAGATAGTCTAGAGCAAGGTAATGTTTTAAAATTGAGTTCAAAACATGAATAAGACTATTAGCAAAAAAAATAAACCTGATAAGTGCTCTTTTCCAAACAATACTGACGACTTACCAAAAAAATGCATCTTAAGTGAAGGAGTTCCAGAAAAAAGCCAGCCAAAAAACGGATTGGTTAATGGGGTAACTCTAGAGACTGGCAGTGCGAAGAAAAGTGGCAGGAAAAACAGGCGAAACAAGCACACACTTCCAAATTCTCATCCTAACATAAATGGTGATTATCATCCTGAAGACAACTGTAAAGTCCCAGAGAATCAGCTAGATGTAGATGACCTTAAGACAGACATCTCACAAGACCAAAGCAGCACTAGTGTAGCAGAGAGGATCTCTCTGAGTAATGGTATCCCAGTAGAAAATTTAGAAGTTAGCAAAACCAGTAAAAAGAAGAAAAACAAAGTTAATTTGGATTCTAATGATAACATTTCATCAACTATATGTGATAATAAACTTTCTTTAGGAGAATTGACAGAGCCAACTACCAATGATTTGTGTAATAAAGATATAACGCCAAGTATAAATCATAACGCAGAGGCAGTACAGCCTTCAAGTAGTACAGTTATCTTAGGGATAGAAAGCAGTTTGGAAAACATACAATTGTGTGACAGCAGTAATCCTCCTGTAGAAGATAGTGCTAAAAGTAAACCTAAGCCTAAAATCGACTTTGTACAATATGAATCTGAGGTTCAGATGCCTATGATCATGAAGATAATTCAAAAGGACCTGTCAGAGCCATATTCTATTTATACTTATAGATATTTTATACATAATTGGCCAAAGCTCTGTTTCTTGGTGAGTAGAATTCTTTTTTCCTATAAACAAGGTATTCAATTTATAGCTACACTGAAAAAAACGCTCATTATTATCTCTTTGGCAACACCAATTGATTTGATGTGAGATTCTTGATGTGCATGATCTCCAATTGGGGACATAAATAAAAAATGTCCAGACATAAAGCTCAAGTTTTGGATCGCAAGTAATATAGTATGTCTATACTGAATTCAAGTGATTTGATAAATATTTCAAATTTAGTTTTCATATAGTTTTGAAATTATTTTAATAGATCTTATAAAAATAAAATTACTTCTCCATTGCCTGTTTTTAAATTTTGTATGACATTTACATAGCTTCAGTGTAATGCTTTGTTTTCAGAAAGCAATCATCTAATTATTTTTTTTATAAATACAGCCCAGTTATTTTTAATCCAAAATCTAATCTGTTACTCTAATAGAGCCATTTTGCACCATGATAGTGACAGGCGACAGCAACACATGGCAGGCAACACATGATCAGGGCAAAAGTGTGTTTACTCTCTAGTGTTTCCTTTCAACTAATTACTGTTGAGAAAGTTCAAATTGTCAGTTGTCAGTGCTATTCAACATACACAGGGTGTGTCAGAAGTCAATGTAAGTCAGAAGTGCTAGATAGGCCAAGTCATAATAGTTATTAGAAAAATATAAAAAAACCTAATTTGTATACTTTTCAAATTATGTATAGCCTTTAAAAAAATCGGAAAAATCTACGTTCTGTCATGATTTTTTAGTTCCATTACTACAAATTTCAATCTTTTTTAGAAAGAGTGATGGAAAGTGTCGTTCTACTTAGTTACATTAAGACAGATAGTAATGCCACTTTTATTAATTCATGGAATATGCCAACATGCACTTCATTTATGGGGAATGTAAATACAATGCTAGCGCTGCAGCTAGGCTTTATTTGTCAGAGGTACCCAAATATGGTCGTCATCCCAATCGCCGAGTTTATGTGAATGTGCACCATTTACTCTTGGAGGGATGATTCCCATAAGAAGTACATGGTCAATTAATAATTTCGTTTCCTTACGAGGACGTCACCCTACAAGCAGTCGAAGAAGACCCAAGTTCTTCAGTATATCAAATAGAAGCAAGCACAGGGATGCGCAAAAGTACAGCTCACCAAATCTTGCAAAGAACGAGCTCCGCGTACAGCGAGTACAATTTCTATAACCATGGTATTATCTTCGAAGAGTTGAGTTTTGTCAAACAATCTTGCAGTGACACTGAGAAGATCTAAGATTTTTAAATAAAATTTTATGTACTGATGAGTTTACATTTAAAAAAGTTGGTTACATGAATCTACACAACTTACACGAGTGGCACGTAGAAAATCCACATTTGATGAGACAAGATAGATTACAGTATTGTTTTAAAGTAAACATGTGGGAGAATCACTGTACCAGCAGCCAGAGTTCTTGAATGGCCAAATTTATTTAGACTTTTTACAAAATCATTTTCCAAATTTATTGGAAACTGAACATTTACAGAGGCCAGCAAGACGGCTGCCCTCCGCAATATACCCGTTGAGTTATAGAATATCTTGATGAGGAATATCCGAGCAGATGGATAGGACGGTCTGGTACAATTTCATGCCCATTTCACCTGACTTCATTCCATTCGATTTTTTTACTGGGGAGTGGTGAAAGAAAAAGTTTACTCAAAGTAAATTTAGCTCAGCTGCAGGGCAGAATAACGGAAGGCCGTTTGAACATTTATTGTGAATTTAATGAATACGTTCACGAATTAATAAAAGTGGCGTTACTATCCGTCTTGCTGTCACTATGTCCATCTCTATCTAAGAAAAAATCGAAATTTATAGTAATCGGAACTAAGAGATCATTACAGGGTGTAGATTTTTCCGATTTTTTTTAAGTACATATTTTTTTATATTTTTCTGATAACTATTATGACTTGGCTTATCCCCCGTTTCGGGCTTGCCGTAGACTGGGAATAAAACAATGTATTTCTATAATTACTCGAAGAAAATCAGCGCTATAAGATACATTCTGAGATCTAAATTTCAACATTTCACAGCAACAGTCACAGATTTCCTACAATGCACAATGTACCCCAAATTTGATTATGTATGCACAATCTCTTAGCGCTGTCTCGCGCTTCAACTTGCATGCATATATTATGTTAAAAGCACTGAGAAGTATGGAGTAGCGAAGCTTGTGGCATAGTACTCATACAGAAAATCCGTCACCATCACAGAGAAATAATAATAATAATATTTATTGGTGTTGTATATGCAATAGCATTTACACAAGTCAAAAAGGGAAAACTAGTTAGGCAAAGGGAAGCAGATGTTGTTGTAAAACTTCGTGGATATAGCGCTGGGCAGTCATGCTACCTCGAATGAACACCAATCGTGACCTGCTGCCGTAAGCAATGGCACCCTCTACCAAAACACCCACAGTGCGATGAATATGCCGTTCGATGGAATATTGGACGTTCCGTCATTCACTACGTCTCTTCCTTACTCTTGCACGGCCATCATGTGTGTCCAAACAGAATCTGGACTTATCACTGAACATGCCTGAGTTCCATTCCATATTCCATTCATGTCTCTCCCTATTCTATACCAATCGTTGCAGACGATGCTGTGGGGTGAGAGTTAGTACAAGATGGGCACCGGTGTGAAAACAGTTCAAAAGACCTTAGTCGGCCATAAACTCCCCTCATTGTTGATGCCCTTCCGACAGCATCAAACCAGTGGTTCTCAACTACCCTTATGGACAATTGATCTCTAAGTGCTAACGTATGTCCTAAAAGTTTTGGCACAAAATATTTATCGGATTTTTTTAATGAAGAAATTTATTTAAAGACTAACTAGTTATCACAAATTACAACTCAACACTCAACTAAACTATACTATCAAATTATGTGGAGTGGCCTATTCTGCTCTACCAGACGCAACTTTGTTCGAATGTCTCTGATGAGGTCCTGGACGGAATTCAGGTCAATTTCTCTTAGTTTTTATAAATTCGTCGTCTTAATGGTTCTTCATCTAGGGCTTCCCAGCCTCCATGATAAACCTCCCTAGACAGTAAAGCCCAAAAATCCTTTTTTTTTTTTCGAGGCTGCGGCAAGTTTGGAGGATTATCGTTTTTGGGAACAAAATGTATTTTGTCGAAGCCAGTTTTGGGAATCTCTTGAGTAATGGCATGATGCTAAGTCTGGCCAAAACATGATATGGTCGTTAGCAATTTGGAAAGGTAGTTATCAGTATAGCTCTGACCATTCAAAGCCTTACCCCTCACTCTTCCCACAAAATGTTGCGATACACCGCTGTTAGAAATTCCGCAACAGACAAAGATTTTATCTGAAAATTTGTATCTAACATTGTCAGAGCATTCCTTTTCGTTGTCCCTATAAAATCCGTCGTTTCCCTTTATCTCAGAATTAATCAAAGTGAAATACTTTTTGTCATCTAAAATAATGGTTTTTCCAATGGCAAAGTGTACCCGCGTCAATTTTTCGACATCATATTGGTAAACGAAGGAGTTGCGCTTGAGAATATCTGGGTCATTTAAATCTTTTTCGATATTTAAGACCATTTCTCCACAATTTCAACGAGATCGTACTCTTAAGAGATCTGTATTGATGAGCCAGTCTCCTTGTTGACATTCCAACCTGATTTTTTGACCCTTCTCACCAATCTCTCTGACCTCTGTGCAATAATTGCCCGTGGTCATCCACTTTCTGGGAGATACAGACATAATATTCCCTGCTCGCACTCCATTATTGTTCGATAAATGGTTCTGCGAGAAATTTTTTCATCCTGGAATATTCGACAGACCAACTTGTAGATACTTTTTCTTATTTCTAATTTATACTAGATCTTAGAGCGATCAAATAAATGTCAACTGACAGTAAAGTAAGTAAAAAAACTTTTGCTACTAAATTCAACTTGATATTATTCTGTGTTTATTAAAATTAAAGCCAATGAATTTTGTGCCAAAACTTTTAGTTTTTTTAGTTAGTTGCCTCAAATAAGGATTTGTCGCTCTGTTGTCTATCTTTTACATCCAGTACCTCTAGTCGATTTCGGCCTTCTTGGAACCATGCTCGACAATATCTTTTTACAGTAGCTTCGTTTCGATTCACCCGATTAGCGATTTTTCTAAAAGAAAATCCGGCTTCACGTAACCCGACTATCCGACCGCTTTCAAACTCGGAAAGTTGAGTGAAATTAGCGCGTCTGCGTCTTTGTTATTGGATTTAATCTAGTTTTGTATGGTAGGATATCTTTTTGACAATGAAATTCTAAAGATTTGTGGTCAGAAATTCAAGAGTCGGTAACTTTTGATGATACTGGGAGTATGAAACTTATGAATACTTCACAATGAGAATGTGACAGTGACAGATTTTTTTGCATGGATAGTTGATACTATGCCATTAGTCTCGTGTTTCAGTCTCCAGTCAGGTCACCTGTCGCCTCCGTATCTTTATCATTTCCAAGATGACATTCGCTGTGTTTTTCCTGATCTACATTTGAACATCATTACATAACTTTGTGATCACTAAATGTTCTATTCTTGCACTTTAAAACATTTTTATTGCTAAACAACAAAACAAGTGAAAAGCTCTAAATGTTTTGCTTTAGGCAATGCACGAATCCGAGTGTGTGGGCGCCATCGTCTGCAAGCTGGACATCCATCGCAAAGTGGTGAGGCGCGGCTACATCGCAATGCTGGCAGTCGACGAGAAGTACCGCAACTGCGGCATTGGTTCCAACCTGGTACAACTGGCCATCACGGAGATGATCACGGGTGATGCGGACGAAGTGGTACTGGAAACAGAGGTCACCAACAAGCCAGCATTGATGCTTTATGAAAAGCTGGGCTTCGTCAGGGACAAACGGTTGTTCAGGTATTACCTGAATGGAGTTGACGCCCTCAGGTTGAAGCTGTGGCTGAGATGAGTACAGTTTTGGTAGTATGTTTTCGATGGGGTTAATAGGAGGTAGTAATTGTTAGGTTATGAGTGAGACAGGTCAGGTTTGAAACATTCTAGTGAGAGACTCTAAATCTGAGTTGTGTATTCCACTAATAATCCGCTGTGCTTAAACTGGCAAGATATTAAATCATATCAAAAGAATCTAACATTTATGTTGCCTTAGCAGGTGTTATCAAAGATATACACATTCTATCTACTTAGCTAGGTAGACAAAAAACTACATTGGCACTGTTGGTGATTCCAGGGTCCATCTGAAATCTGTCCTTATAGATTGAATTACTGTTATCTCCTGTAAACTGTGACCGAATTTGAAGAGCTCCAGGCAACAATCTAATCAATATATGTACTTCCAAAATTATCTGTATGATCAATCCAATCCTCAGCTTTGCTGATGACAGCACTCTGTACATGCAGGAATTCAGAGTGTCAAGTAGATCTCTGCTGGTGAGCTGGAGAAAAGAAGACTAGCAGCGACTTTCTCTCTAACGAGAGACCTGGAGGTTATCACTGCTTGGGGAAGCAAACAATTTCGTACGGTTTAATGGTTCCAAAACACAATACTGTACCTTGACGAATAAAAAGCATCCTATCGCTCATTAAGCTTCGATGGATGGCCGAGTTCTACCAAAGAGCCATCCATTTCGGTTGGCCCATATCATCGAGGACTTGATCTGAGACACATATACAACGCACTTCCTCACTCTGTACAAGGCCCAGATAGGACCTAGCAGCCTTGAGTATTCCTCACATGTTTGGGGTACTGCCACCCCGACTACGCCATTATCCATGCTCGAGGCTGTACAGAGGAGGGCTGTTCGACTGATCTAACCCTCTTTTCTAAAGGACAGTCTCAGGACCCTTTCGCACTGGCGGACCGTCGGCGATTTAACCCTTCCACGGCTTTGCCAATGAGTTTTGCTCCTAGGAGCTCTCCTCCATGATGTCGCCGCGCGAAGTGCCTGCCAGACAGACTGGCCTGATTTCGGCCTCCCATCCTAACCGAGTCGAACTTTGTACATCCAGAACTGGTCGGTACGACCACTGCTCTGTCGCTAGGGTATTCGATATTGCGCAACAATCTATAAGAGGAGGCTTTCCCAGTTCCACTAAGCTTGGGCAGTTAAAAAATCTGATAAAGTCTCTTTGGGATCCTCGTAGCAGCCGCGCTTTCCTGGCATTTAGGCTTCTGCCTGCGGGGCTAACTGTAAAAATAGTAATGATACAGATTACGGTTCCACTTGCCTCTTAATTTTCAATTTTGTCAATGCATCATCTCAATTTGAATTGAGTATTTCGATCGCTTGATAAAAAATGCATTTTTAATAGCCAATATAGATTATTTGAAGATCAATACATTTTATCCCCATTTTTCTGTTTGCGAATTGAAAAACAATGCGAAGACATAACCACATTCTAACTTTTGACGTCGTGCTAAAACTTCACGTCACTGGTGTGAAGTTTTGTTTGAACTTTGGAAGGAATTTTTTTGACACCCGCTCATACAGCCAAAATATTCAATAAATACAAATATAATCATATGCAGACTTTTTTGGTAATACCCCATTCACCAGGTAATCTGAATGTAGTATTTTTGGATCCAAAATTGCAATGTCCAATTTTACTCCCGCTAAGCTGGATCTGATTGGAGGTAAAACTGTCAAAAGTAGATGAGAAAAAGACAGATTTCATAGAAGGTAACCCAATTTGGCAAGACACTTTATCAAGTCTATTGAGGTGAACAGCCGATGAGTAATTGATAGCTTTATCTATTTATAACCGTGTATGCTGATTTCAGTTGTTACCTTCCAAATCTAGTCATGTTCATCTGGCTATTAATATAATTTCTAATTTGAAAAAAGCTGTTGAAGCACCTAAAATGTTTGAAACTTCATCTGCTAATATACGCATTTTTCATTCTGGATAAGAATAAACGCGATAGACAAAACAATCACATTATATATTGAAAGATATTCATGATTGCGTCTTCTCACCCCAGTGTCTTCAGATTTTGTTCATACATGGTGAAATGTAAAAGTTGTTCAGAGTTTATTTTCTGGTATATACATGTTACGAGGGATGTCTTTTAAGTTTTGCATATGGAAATAAAACAACACGGTAGGTAATTTTAAATGACTATTGTTTGTCGAATTATTCTCCACGAAGATTAATACACATCTGCATGCGTTCGAACCAATTGTCGTAGCACTTATTCCACTCGTTTGCTGGCAGATCCAAACCGGCCTTTTTGAATGTGTTAACTGCGTTTTTGATTTTCGGGAAAGTAAAAAAAAACGTTAGGGCTTAGATCGGTTACTATATGGAGGATGGTCCAATAATTCCACGTTTTCTTCCGTTAAATACTGCCTTGTTTTTTTGGGCTGTGTGCGAGCTTGCATTCTCTTGGTGGAGGATGATTCTTCTTTCGGGGTTGATTTTTCAAAGCTCGGTGATGACTTTTGGTAAACAAATGGTGATATACCAATCCGCAGTAGCAGTTCTTTGCTCATTAAGACGAATTGTTGCAGTATGACCCGCTTTTGACACAAATATCGCGGCCATCTTTTTCGAAACACTTCGAGAACGGATGACTTGTTGGCTTTTCTTCACCTTGGAACACCCAAACAGCCGACTGTCGTTTATTTTCTGGTTCATAACAGGAAATCCACGATTCATCACCACTAACAACGCTGTACACATTTTTTGAGTTTCGGAACTGAAACGGTCAAGCGTTTTTTGACACCAATTAACCCTGGCTGATTTGTGCTCTTCAGTCAACAGGTGGGGTATCCAACGAGAAACTAATTTTCTTGCTCCTAATTCTTCATGTAAAATTTTTTCAATTGAGGTATTTGAGATCTTCAAGGACGCCTCAATCTCGCGATATGTCATATGTCTATCTTCAATGATGAGATTGCGCACAGCATCGACGTTTTCCTGGGCGACTGCCGTTTTTGGTGCGCCCACGCTGAAATCGTCGCTAAGACTCACCCGTCCACGTTTGAATTCTCCATACCAACGGGAAATTGTCGACTGATGTGGCGCTTCGTTTCCCAAAACAGACAGTAACTCAGCAAGGCCATCTTGTTGCGATAATTGTCTCTGAAAGTTGTAATAAATTATGGCGCGAAAATCTTCTCGGTTGAGTTCCATTTTTCTAATGACTTGGTGACACTTAAAAATTCACTGTAGTGAGAACACTGTATTGTTGTGGAACTTTGAATTTAAGTTTACTAAAGAGTGAGGTTAATATTCAGTACTGATGTTCGATTCGTGCGGCTTACTATTTTTATGCAAAACTTAAAAGACTTCCCTCGTACAAATATTTTTTTAACTGTTTTGTGCATGTATCTTTTTTAACGTCAAAATATTCGTATTATGTATAGAGTACGATTATACGATAACAACGGCAGTATTTTGTGTAATTTTGTGCAAATGATGTACAAGTTTAGTTGATGCTTCTGAACTTTGTCAACTTCCTTGTTACATAACAAAACAAGGCTGCACATCGGACGGTATTTACCATTGTATACATTTTGGTGGCGTCAAAGGTGAAGGGCGAAGAAACGACTTCATAGCAGTAGTTCTCCTTTTCATTGCTCAGTTAGATTCGAACGAAACGTCGTCTGAATCCCAATTATCCAAGTTGTTAAGTTTTACTGAATGCCACTAATTTTTTGGGACTTCCTACCCTACGTCACGCAATTGTTGAATAAACTCATCCAGTCTTATTGTGAGGCTGATATCATTGCTCTTAGTATCATGCGTTCGATCAGCTGTGGCACGCTGCCCTCTTATGCAAACTTCCATCCTAGAGAAGCTTTGCAGATGGCTGGCTGACTTTCTCTCTGGCTGCAAGATATCCGTCATAATTGACAGGTCTTCCTCTTCATCCCACAACGTCAACGCGGGTGTTCCCCAGAGATCCATCCTGGCACCAGCACTGTTCCTCTTACATATCAACGACCTCCATTCCTGTACGATCAGTCCAATACACAGCTTTGCTGATGATAGCACTCTACATGCAGGAATTCAAAGTGACAAAGCCAACCTCTGCTGATGAGCTGGAGAAAACACAGTACTGTACCTTATCGAAGAAAAAGCGTCCTAGCGCTCGTTTGGTTTCAATGGATGGCCGGGTTCTACCATAGAGCCGTTCATTTCGGCTGGCCGGAGTCCAAATCACCGAGGACTTGATCTTGCACGAACGCATCTCGTCAATTGCGGAGTGCTGCCGACCCAACTACATTATCCATGCTCGATGAAGTTCAGAGGAGAGCTGTCCGACTGATCGATGACTCTTCTCGGGACCCTATCGCACCGGCGGGCCGTCGGCGATCTAGCTCTCTTCTACCGCTATACCAGTGGGCTTTGCTCCTCAGAGGCTTCCTCCATAATGCCGCCTCGCGATGTGCCTGTCAGTCAGACCCGTCTCACTTTCTCCTGGCACTAACCGTGTTAGTACATACAGAACTAGTCGATACGACCGCTCCTTTGTCCCTAGGGTTTCGAGATTGTGGAACAATTTACAGGGGAGCAGGCTTTTTCCCAGTTCTACTAACCTAGGTAGTTCAAAAATCGAATTAAAGTTTCTTTGAGCTGCTCGTAGCAGCTGCGATGCTCTGGCTTTTGCATATGGGATACCAATTCAGTAAGAACCATAGATGTATGAAATGCATGTGTATTTGTACTATTTCTATTTTAAGCTACTTACCATGTATGAGAGAATCCTGTCCACTCCGGAAAAATCATTCACATCTGACCTGTATATTGACACATTGTTGTAGTGATGACTTTGTCATTGCTATAAAACATTATTTTGTGTATACAAAAGTTGCATGCCTTTACCATCTTAACACTAATTCTATATTGATTTTTGATAACTCGATTTTGTTAAAGTATAGTTAATTATTGTTGAAAATTTTATTACTGTTGTTTGTTATGTTCACTCTCTAGCAAGATGTAATTTATTTTCCCAAAATAAACAGCGACTTTTAGACAAGTATCATGTTTCAAAAGTATCACTTTGGTTCTCAATTGTCTGTATAATCTATGTTTTGCAATGCTTCGATCTAAGTCAATAGTCAGTTCATTTAACTATGACTGAACATATTGTCATTTAAAAAATTGTGAAACAACCTATGTGTTGGTCAGACGTAGTACTTTTGAAGTACTTGGTGGTATTGGGTTATTCTACCTGCAGTGGATATTTAGGCAATATACAGGGTGTTTCAGTTTATTGTTGCATAACTTTAAGATTCGATAGAACTTTTAAAATCAATGCATAAAGTCTATATAAACATGGGTCGAAAAATGCGTGGCTTCCGAAATACAGGGTGTTTAAATTTACTTTCTAAAATAGTTTTTTTTAAATATTTCGAACAATATTTGATGTATAACAGTGAAAATTGGTATACAAGGGTTTTTTGGTACGAGAAAACGAACCATGGGCATAGTTTTACTGTAGCCGCTAGAGGGCGCTCTCTACTGTACCTGTAGTGTATTAAAATGACCGAAAATTTTTTCTTAGTGCAATTTTTTGCTTTTTGAATAAAAAAACTGATTCTTCGCACTTTTATGCATAAAAAAGCTCTCTTGTGAGTTTTCGTTATAGTTAGCCGTTTTAGAGATATTTCGATTTTTAAGGTTCGATGCATTTTTAATTATTTATGGCAAAATAATATTTAATAATATTTTTTATAATATTTTCGATTTCGGCATTACAAGTAATTAAGATGATCGTTTAGATTGTGTTTTTAAACACAGCAATAATTCCTAACTCCAAATAAACAAAAAAACAGAACATTAATTTGTTTAATTTTCCAATATTATTTTTAACAAATTAAATTAATTATTTACAACTAAAATGCTATTGGATAGTTAGGACAGACATACAAAATCTAAAGTAGTTGCTCGAAATGTAAGCCCAATTGTTCAATACACAATTCAGATCTACGAATGATCGAACGTGGTATAGCATTATTCAAATAAGGCCTTATTTCATCACATGCATTCCTGATTCTGTCTATTAGCATACCTCTTGTGGTTACGGGAGTCTGGTACACTTTTTCTTTTAGAAATCCCCACACAAAGAAATCTAATGGATTTAGGTCAGGGGATCGTGGAGGCCAGGCGACTGGTCCTTCACGGCCGATCTATCTTTCTGGACAATTTTCGTCCAGCCAGTTTCTAACTATTCTCGAATAATGAGCTGGACAACCATCAAGCTGGAACCAGGCCAATCTTCTTAAATCTAACATAACATCATCCCACATATTTGCATGTTCAGCCTTTAAAAATTCCAAAAAGGTCGCAGCAGTTAACCTTGCAGGCAAAAGGTAGGGTCCTAATAGTCGATTACGGTAGATACCAATCCACACGTTCACACTAAATTCATGCTGAAAATTTATTTCCCGAACTGCATGCGGATTTTCATGCGACCAAATATGTTGATTATGAAAATTTACCACTCCACGTCTAGTGAAGCATGACTCATCGGTCCATAAAACGTTACTTGAAAACTCCCTATTATTATCAGTTCTATCAAGAATCCACTGACAAAATGTGATTCTTCGTTCTCCGTCCCCTGGCTGTGGTCCTTGTACAGGTTGCAAATGGTAAGGACGTCAATGGTCATTTCTAAGAACACGGTGAACATGGCTTGCTGAAATTCCCAAGGCACCAGAAACTCTCCTATCAAACTCACGCAGAATCATGCGGGTAAATCTGCGCTGACGAACATTTATGTTTTGATCCCTTTGGAGATTTCCAAAACCATTTTCAATTATTTGGCGATGCACTCTTACAAATACTGAGCGAGTTGGTTGTCGTCTGTTTGGAAATCTTCGTGCGTATTCTCAGGCTGCTTCTGCTGCGTTTCTATTTACTAAGCCATACACAAAATGAATATCCGCTAACTCTTGATTGGAGAATAAAAATGGCATTTTTATAGAACTTACAAAAAAAAAGGTAAAAGAAACTAAATTTCGTGCATTCACAATTGCAAAAAAACGTTTCAGGTTTCAACAGACAACAAAACTAACTGTCAACTAATTGACGTTTAACCTTATTCTGCTTTCAATTTCAAAAATATTTGCAGGCACAGCCTACTTCTAAAAATTATCGAGATACTGACTTTTTAACGTTATTTTATGATAAATAGTTAAAATTGCATCGAACCCTAAAAATCGAAATATTTCAAAAACGGCTAACTATAATGAAAATTCACAAGAGAGCTTTTTTATGTTGAAAAGTGCGAAGAATCAGTTTTTTTATTCAAAAAGCAAAAAATTGCACTAAGAAAATTTTTTCGGTCATTTTAATACACTACAGGTACAGTAGAGAGCGCCCTCTAGCGGCTACAGTAAAACTATGCCCATGGTTCGTTTTGTCGTACCAAAAAACCCTTGAATACCAATTTTCACTGTTATACATCAAATATTGTTCGAAATATTTAAAAAAAAAACTATTTTAGAAAGTAAATTTAAACACCCTGTATTTCGGAAGCCACGCATTTTTCGACCCATGTTTATATAGACTTTATGCATTAATTTTAAAAGTTCTATCGAATCTTAAAGTTATGCAACAATAAACCGAAACACCCTGTATAATTCGTGTTATGCAAAGTGTTCATAAAAACAAAAAGGTACATGTTCTGTTAATGACTAGCAAAAAGTTATATCAAATATCTTTTCCTTATTCTGGACTATGATAAGTCACTTGATTCTAAGTTTGTCATCTATATCCACTAGTAACAAGCGGATTGGTATTTGGATACAGACATGTGATATTTAGAAAGTCACTCTAATTGAATGAAATATTAAAAAACCGATTTACAAGAACATAATAATTTTTTGAATGTCACTTTGTATAATATCGAATATATTGTTAGGACAGTGAAACTACTGTAAAAAAGTCCATTACAAAAAATTTAAAATCTTACAATAGAACAAAGCATGAGTGACTTTTGGGAACCTATTTACTTTCTTTTTTTAGTACCATGAGACATGGTATAAATTGATCAAGCTCATGAAAGTTTTTCCTCACAATTATGCACTATTAGTGTCAAATCTTAAAATTGTATGCGCTTATACAAGGTAAATGGTACATAATTATTATCAGAAAACCAATTATTTTCAATAGCATTACATTATTATGGTTTTGGTGTAGGACTACATGTTTTGTTATAGCCCATCATTAAAGCATTGAGACCGAGGTGTTCCAGAGGTTGGAACCATGAATTTGTCGAGTATTGGATGTTGCTATTGATTATTATGAACATACTACAATTTTGATAAAAGACATTTGTGAAGAAGTATCTATGGTGTTCTTAGAAGTTATTATTGTGATACTAATTATGTACCTATTCAGAGTGTTTAAAAAAATAATAGCAATATGCCTAGAACTGAAAGTACATTCAAAAATAACAGAGTTTCTATAGATCCTAAAATGTACCATTACCAATATACAGTCTTGTAAAATTTTACTTTAGTGATGAGGCTGATTAAGGAAATTGGTTTAAGTTTTTTATGCAATTTACGTTAAAGAATTCAAACCAATGAATAGTTTGACAGACATTTCTCAAGATAGTCTATTAATGTGAAATTAAATATTACATTAAAAAAAGCCATGCTTTTTAAAAAAATCAATGGCGTATAAAATATTTCTCTTTTCCTTCTTTTGGTTAATGATATCCCCGTTCCTACGCCATTTGTTTACAAACACAACATGACGGGTTGGACCCTTCATCCGCTCTGGAGATATATTTTTCCTCAATTTAGAAATTATAACTTCAGCACCCTGAATCTCCCTAAGGAAGGATTTTAATATCTCTGTTATTTTTAAACCTACTCTCTGCCTGGCAGATACTGCTACCATTTTCTGAATCACCCAGCATTTTCCTTATTTCTTTAACGGTTATCATGGTATAATAAAAAGTCGTCAACTAATTATTGTGGAATAAAATTCATGGAATTTGAGTTGCATTCATACTGATAAGAGAAAATATTTATCAAAGTTAATATTAACGTGTGCTTCAATAAGTGTTTTTTGAGTTACTCTATATAAAAATGTACTTTAGACAGTTGTGTCTATAATTGTATAAACTTTTGTATATATCTTAGTGTTATTACTATACAAAATGTAATAAGATGGAAAATATACCAAATTTATTACAGAAAAGAATGCTTATTTTTTTATCTTACAACAAAATTTCATCAAGAAAAACCATTTTCACGAACGTCTCATTTGATGGTTAATAAAACGTTATTTTAGAATTCTACAGGGTCAGGCAGAGAAAAGTTATCACAAACTAAAAGGTATAACAATTTATTAACAATTTAACAAAAATGCAATATACATTAGTAGAATTTAGTGCCGTGGCTTAAATGTTTATTTTTTCTTGAAAATTGTTGCAGAACGAACCCATAACTCTACGAGGCATTTCCAATGGAATATTGCCAATCTCTTGACGAATTATGGGCCTTCAAATCTTCCTTGTTTCTTGGTGGGTTTATATGGAAAAGCTTTGATTTTAAATAACCCCATAGTCAGGAGCGGTCAAGTCCACAACCTGTGGATGAGTGACGAAGCCCACTTCCAACTCTGTGGGTTCAGTAACAAACAGAATTTCCGGTACTGGAGTGATAATAACCCACGCAATCTCTACGAAAAGCCTTTACATTAAGAAAAAGTGACTGTCTGGTGTGCTATCTGCTCTCAAGGCATAATCGGTCCATATTTTTTTGAAGGTGACAATGGTGAAGTGTGACCGAACGCTACGCCGCTATGTTGGTAGGTTTTGCCCTACCCTGCACTTGATCAGTGTGTGAATGAAAACACATTATTGCAGTAGGACCGCGCCACTAGCCATACGGTCAATATTTCAATAGATTTGCTGAGGCGTGCATTTTCTGGTCGCCTCATTAGCAGGAACGCCGATATTCCCTGGCCTGTCCGTTCTCCGGACTTGACCGCTCCTGAATATTTCCTCTGGGAGTATTTAAAATCAAAGGTCTTCCAGATAAACCTACAAAGAAATAAGGAAGATTTGAAGCCCCGAATTCATCAAGAGATCGACAATATTCCATTGGATATGCGACGTAGAGTTATAGGTTCGTTCTGCACCGACAGACTCCGAGAATGTGTAAGCAACCAAGGGCGACATCTAGTTGATACAATGTTCAAGAAAAAAATAAACATTTAAGCTACAACACTAAATTCCACTAATGTATATTGCATTTTTATTAAATTAATTAATAAATTGTTATACCTTAGTTTGTGATAACTTTATTAAATCTTCCCGTTTTACTGCCGGATAATAAGATCCACCATTTAGTTTTGTGTGATATTTCCCATATTACTCCAGTTTAAATAAGAAAACAGTATATTTTCATAAAAACTGGCCATGAGAATTGCAGGTAACTACCAAATTTCTTCGATCATTTGGTATGGAAATTGGGTCCATCTACAGTGCGATTTCCTTACTGCTAAGTTCTCAGTGCAATTGCTAGCTGCTGTACTGTAGCACTAGTACAGAAAGGCTGTTGCGCCGGAAATATTTTCAAGGAAATATAAAGCATGCCCTAGTAGTACTTGGTACAAAAATTTCGGATGTGTGATGTCTATAGGGGTCCACAAAAATTTTTCGCGATACGATTAGTAAACTAAAAGAATTTATATATACAGTTGAGTCATTTATTTTAACAGTGAGTAGATCTGATCAAAAGAAATGTTTTTTTCCTTTACCATTTTTCTGGTAAAATTAAAGTAACAAAGTTATAGCCCTTTGGAAGTTTGAGTACCGCCCTGTCTCAATAATATCATGTGCTCGTGTTTGGCAACAACGGATATAATCCGCCTTATCGGTTCATCGCATCGGAAACAAAAAAGCGAAAGAATTTGGAACGATGTTTTTACAATTATTTTATTCAGTTCAGTTATACATACAGTCAGTGTCAGTCGCGTGTGAATAGTGTCTGTTGCGTGGCTCAAACGAAATAAAAAATGGCACATGTTTATGCGGATCGGTTTCCCAATCGAGTGCAACCAGCCTTTGTTAATGTAGTACAACGGGCTCGTGAATCAAGTGACTTAAGACCTCACGATCAAATACAGGTCCGCACTGAAATACTTGTCGGGAGGATACTTTATAAAACAAGGTACATTTTTTTTTTATTTTTACACACATATTTTGGTTTATATTCCTTCTACAATCATTATCTGAAAATTAATGACTCAACTTCAAAGTCTGTATATATAAGTATCTATTATACCTACCTTTTAGAAAATTTTGGAAAAAAAATCGTAGCTTTCCAACTTCATTTATTACATCAAATAATATTCTTCCTGCTACATAATCCGGCTTTCGCTGTGGCCATAGTATTACAGCCGCACTTGCAACCGTTACAGACGACTTATCAAAGCATGAGACAATAAGATGTATAGTTGCTTGATTTTATTCGATTTCAGTGAAGCTTTTGGTACAATAGATCATTCAACCTTATGCTCGAAACTTAAATCTCTGGGACTAAGCAATATGACTGCAGATTTTTGAATAGCTTCCTGCCAGGCAGATAGATCCCAGTGCACAGAATTTGATGGGCACGTATCTCAGTTTCGTAATATAACCAGATGTAAACCACAGGGTAGTATTTTAGGACCTAAGCTATTTTCTCTGTATACGTCAATTTGAAAAGTCAGTTGGAATTTTGCATTACACATCAATATGCTGATGATACACAATTGTATTACTCTTTGAAACTTGATGATGCTTATGTTAACTGCATGCGCATCAATCTTGAGTATTTATCTAAAAAAGTAAGAGAGAGAAATGAAATAAAACTGACAATTATTTTTAAACCAAGTCCGTGTGAAGTAACTGACAACCAGAATTTTAGAAGCTAGCAACCAATGTAAAAATCTATGACATATATGGATAGTCAGGCTGAATCTATGCGATTCGTTGATATTGCCTTCCTTGTATGCTGATATTGTATACTGGCCTGCTGTCACTGCTAGAGACAAACTTTCTATCAGAAAAATTCGGAACTCGTGTATTAAATTTTCGTACGGTTTGAAAAAATAGTACCACTTCCGTGATAAATTGCGAGCCTATGGCTAGTTCAATATGCATGACCGCCTTTTGATACACCTTGCTTGCTTAACTTAATATATTAACAATACCAAGCTACCACTTTACCTCCATACCAAACTTGTTAGGAGATCGGATCTTCATGATAGGCAAACTCGTACTTGTAATCTCTATGATATTCCGTTCCATAGTACTGAACAGTTTAAAAAGTCATTTATTTATGTTTCATCTACAATGTACAACTCATTGCCAGATACAGTAAAAAATTTGCTCTCAGTAGCTTCCGAAATAGAGTCAAATCCCATGTGCAAAGACTACAATAGTTTTATTTTTGCTCTTGTATTAGTTACAACTATTATTAATTTATAATTCTTAGATTATCATCATTATTATAGTAGTATTATTTACGGGGGTTGCATGGAAGAGCAACGTTGTTGAATGTCGCATCCCTCATGAAATTAATTTTTTTATTTGTTCTTTTAATTCAGAAATAAAGACATTATTATTACTTCATGCGCGACTTCACTTCTATTGGCGTGGAGAGTACAAGTAATAGGGGAAACGACCAATGCCGACATTAAAACACAGTTTGTAATGAAAAAATATGTATGTTACCAACATTGATTCATTTTTTAGATTGTAATGAATTTTCAGCTTTCCTTTTGATTGATTTCACCAAAGCCCTTAATTCAGCGTTCTTACTAGTTCCATCATTTTGAGGCTTCTTTGCTCTAATCTGCTGCTCGGTATTGGCCTCTCTCCTTTTTATTTTTTCATTCATTAATGTTTCCATACCTTTTGTTTTCTTATAATGAGGATCCGTTGGATCAATGTTATAATGGTGACTGGTAAATATTGCCGAAAATCGGGGGTCCTCAATATTAACTTTGAAATCGTCGGAGTTTCCTTTTTCTTCATCTGCTCCTTTCTTCCTTCGTTTCTTTTTATTCTTTGAGTCGTTCTCATTGTCTTGAATTTTTTTCAAACTAAAGTGTTTTTTATTGTGATCATCATCATTCATCAACAGCAGTTCAAGCTCTGCTTTCCTCTGTTCATCTTCTTCTTCCGACACACTTGCTTGACGTTTTTTAGATTTAGGTTTTTTGAACTCTGTTTTGTTGAACTCGTCCGCAAAGTAAGGGTCATTCATATCAATATCCGAAGGCATGTCAGAATCACTATCATCACTGTTTTTCTCTGCATTTTCTTTGCGCTTGTTACGCTTTTCTTTTTTCTTCTGTTTCCGCTTATCGAGATAATGTTGAAATGGTGTCTTTTCTTCAGTTTTAGCAAGCTTTTCTTTCGCGAGTTTCTCTGTCTTCTCCTTGAGATCTATTCCCCAAGATATTTCCATTTCCACTTTATCTTTCTCAGCCGTCTCTTTCTCTTCTATTTCCTTTAACAGTGCTTTATATTTATCCACAGGATTGGTGTCTTCCTCATCCGTTCTGGACTTTTCATTTTCATCCTCACTTTCTGCATCACTCTCACTGCTACTAGCAAGATAATTTTGAAGATCTACCTCTGAAATGTCATCAATCTTCCCGGAGCTAATCTTTTCAACCACCTCAATTCTATCTGGGTTTGTTTCATCCCATGTAAGGTTGACTTTGGCCTGTTGCAAAGCTGTATTTGTGAAAAATCTTGGTTGATATCTATTGAGTTCAGGAAGTCTATCGCATATTTCTTTCGGCTCGTCTTCAAACTCCATGTCATCAGGGATAAACCTGGGGATTGAAAATGATGTGTTATGATAGCTGATTAATATTGATATGAGACAAAGAACTACTGAATGTATGTTGAATGAATGACCGAAAATCCGTAAGAAAACATTCATAGTAAGATCAATGCATTTTTTTTGAAATAAGTAAACGCTAGATCAGTCCCTATATGATGAAGTTTTATTCTATTCATAATTGAAGCAAATCAAAGCAATTCAATCTGGAACCTTTGTATGTACATTTTGTCCCCATCTTGGTAACGCGCGTAATTTGCGCTCATATATTGGATAAAATTAAAATATACAGGGTGTCAAGATAAGGATCCTATGCATGGGGATCTTTTTAGAATTTACATGCCGTTGAGAAACTTGTACATAACAATTTCATGGCTTCCTGAGGTACTTGGGAAAAATAAAATTTGGCCAAATTGTTTTTATTTATGAAACATCAAAAAACTAATGCAACTTTTCCATTGGCACTTTTTTGGCACATGATGGTGTTTTTAAATTGTGTGCCCGACGTTTCGTTTTTAAGAAACTATCATCAACTTAATTTATCTATCTGATAGCATCTTTTTCTATGGGTTTAAGCATGTATCACATATTACATTCATTTTCTTGGTTATAAAGAAAACTATATGGTAAAATTTTATAAAATGATGCTTAATCTAGTGATATTCAGACTAGCGAATACGTTTTTGACATTATTTTTATTTTATCCACAATACGAGCCCCTTCCCACTTCAGTTCGCCCAACTACTGAAATCTTTGTTTTTTCTTATCAAACACAAATAATAAAAATGTAGCTGGTGTTATATGTTTAAAATATTAACAATGAATATTTTGATAATATATAGTAGAAAACACCAACTTTATCACTCCCTAATCAAATTTGCAGCATAAAAATAACACATGTTGCAATTACAGCATATCAACCTATTTTCATTTCAATACAAAATAAGTCTATAACGCATAGGTGGCTGTGAAAAATAAAAGCCATGACAATTGTTTTTATTAATCACAGCTGTCAGAATACGTTTAAAATAGTTTTGGGTAGTTAAGGTTACTGATAAATAAATTTTTTAATTCTGGGAAATCAAACTCAGAAATTGCAACTTTGTTAGACTTATCGCGGTACAGTGTGAGAAATATTGTTAGAAGATATAACGTAACAGGTTCAGTTAATATTAAGCCACGATATGTGAAAAAAAGTAATATCACAAATGCCGACCGAAGAGCATTAAAAGGAATAACCGTGAAAAACAAGCGTGCCAATTATTTACAATTAAGTGCTCTGTGGAGTGACGCTGTTGGAAGGAGAATTTCGAGGTCAACAACTCATATAGAGGCCCACAAACTGGGATTTAGCACTTGCAAGGTAAGTTTTCTTATAAAAAAAGTGAAGTGAAAACCTTAGTTGCAAAACTTGTTTATATTCCAAAGAAAAGCCACTATTAACTCCACTGCAAAAGAAAAATCGGCTTAGATGGGCTAAAGAACATAGAAATTGGACACATCAACAACTGTGTGCAATACAATGGAGTGATGAGGCCCGGTTCGAAGTTTGTGTTGGTGACAGTCGCAGTAGAGTTATTCCATGTTGACTGTCTGAAGAGAAAAGTGAAAATTCCAGCATCCATTATGGTCTGGGGCAGTATGTCATCAAAAAGAGTAGGAAAACTTCATTTTATTGATGGAAATGTGGATACAAACAAATATTTGGCAATTTTAGAAGAATCGCTTTTACCAGTGATGGAAGAATGTTTGACATCCGGCCAAGATTTTGTGTTTCAGCAAGATGGTGCAGCGTTCCATACCTCAAAAAAGGCTGGATGGAAGAAAATAATGTACCACTTTTGAAATGGGTTTCTAGCAGTCCAGATCTGTCACCTATTGAAACTTTGCGGCACGAGATGAAAAAGGTTCTACGACAACATCCTGCTCGTACAATCAACGAACTGAGACAAAAGCTTCAAGAAATATGGGATTGTTTCACACCAAATTTTTGCCAAATCTTGGTTAACACTATGCCCCAAAGAAGTTCAGCCGTAAAAAAAAATAAAGGTGATGTTACCTAATGGTAATCTTTCAATTGTTGCTTTGGTAACTTCGCGCAATTATTCGCACATTGTTTATTTGTTCAGACGTTTTATTAGTTATAGGTCTAAGTGATTTCAAATATGTATTTTTTACGACTAGAGTGTATCTAAAATGTTTTTGAGAAAATAAATTGTTTTAGAAGTTTCGTCATGTTTAGTTTATAAAGGTATATTTTGGTACAAATCTTGAAGTGGGCCAACTGAAGTGGGAAGGGGTTCGTATGTGTTCAAATAGGTTACCATTATTTTCTAAACATAAATATGATCTAACAGTAGAATTCAAATCATCTAGTAACATTTCTGGTGTAATCATACTAAAGGCTTCCATTGCACATTCTCGTAACTGCTGCTCAGTTTCAAAAGTATGCTGATAATTTGGTTTTCAATTAAACTCCAAACAAAAAAGTCCAGAGGAGTTATAAATCCGGGGAACAGGCTAACCACGACACTTCACTGGAGATCCCAATCCACCTTCCGGCAAATTGATGAGAAAGATACTCTCGAACTTGTCTAGACTTATGTGCAGGAGCACTGTCTTGTTGAAACCTACTGCTATTACCTTGTGCCAAAGGTAAATTATCCAGGCAGTCTTCTAATTCATGTTGCAACAATTGAAGGAACTGTTCTACAATTAATGAGTTGTGGTAAGTAAACGGAATTCATATTTTGGTCCCTAGTATTCCACACCATAAATTAAACCAAAAACGTTCTTGATGTGTGGATACTTTTTTAGCCCGCAGATTTTCTTGAGCCCAGTAATGAGTGTTGCGGCGATTAAAGATACCATTGTTAGTGACCATACTCTCATCAGTCCATTATTATTTTTGAAGGGACATTAAAATCTTCATATGTACCACTCACAAAAATGCTGGCGACGTTCGATGTCTTGGTCTAAGTCCTTGGCAAATTCTGAATTCATAGAAGTGATATCTATTTTTACGCAAAATCAATTGGGCTGTGAATTTGGCTACTCCTACATTTTTCTCAATTTGCCAAGTTGATACCTATATCAGAGTTCTCAGCAACTGCTTGTAATACACTATTCTCGTTTCCTCTAAGGATTCCTTTTTTCGAGACGTAACAGGTTTTTTGAATGTACCATATTTATTTAAATTTCGAGCCAACTATAAGAAAATTGACTTATTTGGCTGCCTGCCTTTTTGAAATTCATCAAGATACATGTTTGCAGTAATTTAGTATTTTTGTAGCACGTCAGCATGTCGAACTTTTCCTCATTGATAAAATGTCCGCCTGGCATCTTTGACGATAATAAAGCAATATTAACAAATACTCGGTGACAGGTATTTAGGTGAAGACAAGCATTGGTTTGCAACGCCTACTTAAAAAAATAAAGAATCTGAAAAAACGCATTTTTCCTTATAACCAAAAAAAAAAAACGTTGAATTCATATAAAAATTCTATTAGATACTTTTTTCGGATCATATGAAAAATAAAGTTGATGGTTTCTCAAAAACGAACCATCGGGCACAAAATTTAAAAACAGTCAGAAAAAATAAAAACCAGTTGGCCAAGTTTTGGTTTTCCCAAATATCTCAGTAACCCATGAAATTTTTACAAGTTTCTCAATGGTATGTAAACAGGCCCCAAAGAACGCAACTTTTTCCTAATTCAACCAAATCTGTATCTGTATCTCAATCGGGTATTGCGATCCCCATAGGATTCTTAGCTTGGAGACTCTGTATGTATATTCACCTTAAGTCCAATTTTATAGCACTGGATTCATACTCCATACAATCACATTCAGTGTATATTTTATTTGCAGTATCTGAATTGTCAAATGTTATTACAGCATAGTAATATTTGAGCCTATTTAATTGATATTGCCTTAGTTTTTCCATATGAAAATTGGATCCTTCTTCATTTTCATCATCACTTTCTTCAACTTTGGATTCAATAAGCTCTACTGGACCCTGAAAAAGAACACTAGCTTCATAAAAAATACATAGTGATTTGTATGAACACTCATGGTATCCGTAATTTGGGAAGACAAAAGCTCGCAACCAGGCCTTTGGTAATGCTACGTTCTCACGGAACTTAGCATGCCTTCGTGGAATGGCTTCCGTCTGAACAAAATGTGTGTGTGTGTTCTCCAGACTGCCTATAGACAAATTGCGCAAGTATGTAATAAGCTTAAGGATTAAGACTCTGAACTGCCCATCAAACATACTGACACAATCAAGCACTTCTATTATATCAGCAGTATGAGGCATGTATTCCTCCATTCAGACGTGGATAATTTGGGTTATCGAAGAACAGACAGCCGACGCATCCGCGTCAGTGAAACAGACATTTCTCCAAGGAAAGGTAGAGAAGAACTCTCTGAGCCCCTCCCAGTCGACATGTCCGTGTAATGCCAAATTTTGCGGCCTGTGCGAGTTCCTGCTGAAACAGCAGGTTCTGGCCGAAACCTAACCTCCACAACACAGTGGTCTGAGTTACCCAGGGGAGACAGGACAGCAGAGCTGTAAGGGACAGGATGCGTGGTCAGAAAGAGATCCAGCAAAAAAAGTAGGCCCCGTCACCAGCTGGGTCAGCCCTCGAGTAAGAGCGAACGCTTTAACTGCATGACCTGCTGCATCGGTCTTGTTTGAGCCCAACCAAAGCAAATTATGGTCATTGAAATCACCGAGGAGAACTACCTCTGAAGCGGAGTGATTGATGTTCAGGAAGTCGATCTTGATGGCGAGGTATTCAAGAAGGTCATCCCAGTTATGGTCCAAGGGGGGCGATAAAGGCAGCAAATACATTTGGGGGATGTTTTGGAGTTGAGGCGAAGCCAGAGAATGTCCTTCCGGTCTGATTCCAGAGAAACATGACAAAGGTCACAACGCCCCCGTTCTTTCTCAGATTGGAGTGCACCTCGTAATTTGGTAGGCTAAGATGGTTAATCGGTGCGGACTCGAGATTGTTGTCTCCGCCAGGAAAAGCATGGCGGGACGATTGGATTGCAAGTAGTGATGAACAGCATCAATGCTGCTGTTAATCCCGCAGATGTTCGTGAAACAAATTTTATCTTCGATGTTGTTCCCTCGAGTCCACCCTGCACCCGGACATTCTGAGAGTGGAGTGAGCTTACATCCGGAATTCTTAGTACTCGAAGGATCCATCATCATTAATTTCTTTGTTTTGGAAGATAACCGACTGCATAGCTGAGGTGTGGAAACATGCGGACATTTATAAGACACCCTGAGAAAAGCTATAGGGTGGTACCGCCTGGGTCGACTGGTCCTTGTCTACCACCTTCTTTTTGCGTGTTAATGATATTAAATAGACCTAAAGTATCCCGTTGGCGGACTTGTACCGTCACCCGGCAATCGGTACTGAGGTATTCCTGAACGCGTGTACAATCACTTGTACGGGAAGAAGTTGTATGCTGGATACAACAACTTCCGGAACAAGCGCTTGCCACGGCCCCGCTCAGTACGAGTTGGGGTTTTTGAAATTCAATATAGATGTTACAGTTATTTTTCAAACTTTCGTTGTCGAACTTAGATAGTTGTTTTCTCAGTTTTCGCACCGGTGTTGATCGCAAGTAGAAATGTTGGAAATCCTTGGAAAGAACTATATCTGTTAGATCGTAATTATTTTGATAACGTATGTTTGTAATAAATAAGTACAGAAATACAGGGCTGTACATATTCACGTATAGTGCAGCAGCTCTGTGATTTAAACGAATTCAATATAGCAACATAAATAGACACATACGCGAGAGGGGAGTCGGGACGTGTGGTATTGATTTTGAGCATCGATCGACGCAGTTTATAGACAGGCCACAGGAGCATCTCTAAACAAATCTCATAAATGTCTATTTCCAATTTAGGCATTCATCTAACATAGTGCTTCGCTGCAACACCAACCCCGAACAAAATCAGTCAAGCTTTACACACTTTTCAAATTACTATTGGGCACAAACAGAACATAAATCACTTTTGAAGTGCAATCTGCATAGCTAATATATTACCCAGACTTAGATTTGTCACAAGTCACAATACTCGTATAAATCGTAAGAGTTGTGCTGTCAAAGAGGGACAGCATTTGGAATATCAAAGGATACCAAAAAATCATAATTCTTAGTTCCTATAGCTATAACTTATAGTTAGTATGCCTCTGTCACCATGATGTGACAGAAAGTAACACAATGGTGTTAGATTGCAAAAGCAAATGTCAGACGTCTAAGGGGGCGCGCACAAGGAGAAATTTTGTTTCAAATCCCGTGGTATACTCGTGGAACCCTCTTAGTGAAGAAAGAGTGAGTGCAACAATTGTCAAAAACTAGACGACAGTGCAGCATGATTCATGTATTATTCAGTATACAATTCAATGCTTTCAAAGCATAGTACTTTATTTTATTTTTATTTTTTGTTTTATTCATTACAACACCCTACAGTAAATACCAATTACAGGGTGAGGAAACACAGAACATAACACAGATATAAAAGACAATAATAAGTAATAAGTAATAGACTACAAAGTGTAAAAGATACATGCTGGTTACTTAATAGTATTTTTTATGTCTGCAATTCTGCAGTTAAATATATCAATCCTGTTACTTGCAGAATTGTAATTCCTACACAACACATGTAAAGGGGAATAGTGTAAATAATTTGTCCGTGCCGCAGGTAGATAAAACGTAACGTATTGTCGGGATGTCAGCCTAGGTACGTTAAATGATAACTGTCCCAAGAAAGCTAAATCATCACTAGCATTATTTATCAATTTAAATAGAAAAATCACTGACTGGCAAGTGCGCCTTGCTTCAAGACTGATGATTAGATGTTTTTCAAGTAAGGAATCATGAGGTATACCTATGGGCGGGTAAACGCCATCCACTTTCAGTGACAAATATTTTAAGAAACGTCTTTGAACACATTCAAGCCTACTTATATGAATAATATGATGCGGATTCCAAATTAGCAATGCATACTCAAGCTTCGATCTAACATATGCATACTACAGCAACTTCAAGGTGGTACTCTGAGTGAAGTCACGGCAGTTTCTTACAATAAAGCCGTACATGCGGTTTGCCTCGGAAATTTTGCTGTCAATGTGTTTGACGAATGTTAGTTGGGAGTCAAATGTCACGCCTAAGTCACATAAAGTTGAAGTCCTCTGAATAGAGCTACCTGACAGGGTACTGTAGTACCTTGACGAAAAAAAAGTGTCCCAGCGCTCATCTGGTTTTGATGGATGGCCGAGTTCCGCCAAAGAACCATTCACTTCGGCTGGTCGGAGTCCAGATCACCGAGGACTTGATCTGGCACGAACACATCTCGTTAATAGCGACAACTGCTGGGAAAAAGCTAGGCCACTTGTTTAGGGCTAAGAAGTACTTTTCTCCGCATGACCTTTTCACTCAATACAAGGCCCAGATAACGCCTACCCTCGAGAATTGCTCACACGGTTGGAGTGCTGCCGCTCCGACTAGATTATTTATGCTTGATGCTGTCCAGAGGAGGGCTGTCCGACTGATCGATGACTCTTCTCTAACAGACAGCCTCGGGACCCTTTCACACCAGCGGGCCATAGGCAATCTAGCTCTCTTCTACCGCTACACCAACGGGCTTTACTCCTTAGAGCTCTCCTCCATGATGCCGTCGCGCGTTGTGCCTGCCAGACAGACGCACCTGACTTTGATCTACCATTTTAATCGTGTCGAGATTCGTACATCCAGAACTGGCCGATACGACCACTACTTTGTCCCAAGGGTGGCGAGATTGTGGAACAATCTACAAGAGGAAGCAGGCTTTCCCAGTTCTACTAACCTTGAGCAGCTCAAAAATAGGATTAACAAAATTTCTTTGGGATCCTCATAGGATCTGCGGTGCCCTGGCGTTTAGGCTTCTGCCTGCGCGGTTGCTGCAGTATGTAAAAAAAACTACACAATGGAGTCATCAGTCTTTTCCGCCTACTATTGTAGTGCTAATAGTGATTTATACCCTATTTCACGAGTATCCATCACGCTTTGATGTCTACTGAGGTGAACAGCTGATCAGCAAGTGACATTTTTGTGTTAGTTTGCAACATTGGCAATAATGAATCGGGTGTAAGTCTAGTAAATCTTTTTTGTAGTATTTTGTTTTTCGTATGCAAATGACCCTTTGAAAATAAAACAGCTTTTAGCAAGTACAAAATGAATCTGTAGCGTAAAAAAAAATGGCTCTGTCTACCTGGCATTGATGCAACTGTCAGAATTATGTAGTCTTTGCCGATATGGGGAATATTGAAATATTACTGGAAAATCAGCTGTCATTCTATTGCAGCAGGACTGTTGGTAATAATATCAATAAACTAACAAAGCAGGCCATGACTATGTTTTTTTTTTTAATTTGAATGTTGACATTTTCTCTTCAATTTGCCCCTATGGCCACTACAATTTGGAGAGGTATTTGCTTGTTACTGACAAAAGCAAAATTGAAAATATGGTATGCTGTCATCTTCTTGCTCTGTGAGAATGTAGCATAATAATCACAACCAGAAAAGTAATCCTTCACTACCAATAAATACAATGATACTTGTCTAGGTTGACTATAAATTCCTTGGACTGCTTAATCATGCTGTTATGAGTTCACTGTGGCCAGTCATATAGGGAAGTATAACCATGCATCTGTTAATTCCCAGTATCAGTTCAGGGCCAATTCAAGAGACCTTAGCCCCTAATCATGTCAATTTTGTATTAACAATATGGTCACCAGAACTTAAGATATTGAATGGCCTTATCTTTAGATTGCTACAGTCTTCTAAGCTCTGCATTCATACATATATACAGGATAGTCTGGTGGCAGACAAAACTACATTTTACATTTTGATAGGACACTGTCAGCATTTGAGTCACAAAATAATAAGCATTCAATTATGAATATGACTAGTCATGCAACTGTGTCTCTCAACAACTCTTGACATATACTTTTCTCTTTTTGACTTCATTGCTGAATGACACTGTCACATGACGCAAGTCCTGTGCATAAATGTGCACCAAAGTCCGGACCTGCTGACAGCTCTTTGGAAAATGCTTTTTGGAAGGAAGAAAGGATAATTCTCTAGCTTAGCTACACCAGCTGTTTTTGATGAAATACATGATTTCAGATTCCAGTTTTTGAGTGTAGATGAAAGAAATGGGACTGAAAATGAGCACAAATATAAAAGTTCTGAAATATTTTACTATATGACAGGTTTTTATTGAATATTTGTTTTCATAGGTTATGAAATTTTGCCAGACTTCATTACTTCAATAGGTTTTAGTGTTGATGGATATTCTTAATAATTAAATTGGTATGAATGGTTTGAACTTTACAGTCCTACATAACGTCAAATGCACTACAATCAACTGAAAGGGGAAAACATTCTGCAGTAAAAGGAGAGCTGCTACGCGTGGAAATGCATATTTTTATTAATGTTCTTATATTTCTTCAATATGTTTATTCCTGTTGAAACCCAGATAATATCAACAATATTCTGCAGCTAACCCACATTAGGGCTTTTTTAATCTCATTTCTATAATTTACAATATAAATGTAGTGCCTATTTGGACAAACATGGCTGATGTGGTTAAGGTAGAGAATTACAGAAGAAAGTATTATGGTCATATTTGCAAAAGTGCTAGATTGTTGGAATTGTGAATAGTAGCTCACCTTGACTTCCTCTTCTTTCATTCTTGTTTTTCCAAATTCTGATGGATAGATTGCTACAGACTTTACCACACCTCCTGAGGGTAAGAAAGAATTAAATAGCACCATTAGATCCACTGCTCTAATGCGGTCCCAGTCCATATTGCATGCTGCCAAACGACTTGTAGCTTTCTCAGTTTGTTCAGCATCTGCATCCAGTTCCCCCCATCTATGATCTAGCTGTTCATCTTCCTCATTCTCTTCATCTGTGTCATCATCATCTGATGAGCTTTCGGAACACAGTTTACCTTCTCCACGAGCGTAGTCTACATTTAAATCTTTCAGTTTACCCTTTATTTTGTCTGGTACGAGTTTATTAGACTTGTGCTTGGTTCCTATTTCATTGTTTTCATCTTTAGGTCCTTTAACCAATTTCTCTGGTGCTTCATTATCACCTCCGTCGGAAGTATCACTTTCTGATTCTGAAGTTAGATCATAATAACGCTTCAGATCCTCAGTAGATGAGTGATTAACAGGTCTTCCTCTTTTATCAGTGGTATATTTTACTTTGAACTTTTTGTCTTTGAACATAGACTGGAAACGCTTGTCTATCTTCACTTTCTGACTTTTTTTGGGAATACGCCGAAACTTGGGATCATTTTTTATGTGCGCAAAGCGCGAATCCTCCATTTCTCGAGAGAATATTTTGTAATATTTGGAAGGAATTCAAAACTTTGGGTTTTTTGGGAAAAAATAGTGAGGTTAGGTAAATGTCATCAAACATGTGGGACGAAAGATGCGACTGGTGTGTCATCTGTGCGACCCATAAAAAACAATTTAGTTCGGTAAGTCCATCTCTGTAGTGTCTTGAACGCAAGTTAAGCCTTACCTGTAGATTAAGAGATGGCGCTGTCTTTCCAAATGTGTAATTTCTCACACTAAAGTAGAAGCAGTTGGGTCACTGGCGCAAATATCTTTCTTCTTTCATGCTCTGAATTACTAGCTATGTGATATGGGTGTATGGGTCATCTCGGTAGACCAGTTGACCGTTCAATAGCTATCTCTCTGTAGCTACCTCGTGATCTAGTGGGCAGCGGGAAGGCCGTGGGAAGGAATTCTTTCGACCGCTGAGTGTTCCTAATAATCCAGTACATTTTCAGCTCACAGTTAATATCCTATAAGTTAGTACAATACAGTTTACTTTTCTAAGATGACTTTCCTATACTTCCTGCACACTATTTTTGTAGGTACCAATTCTGTAGCAATTGTCATAAAAATACCGTTATGTACAAAAAAAACACACAATCAAGAGGTAAGAGTTAATTAGAGCTTATTCACTTTCCTTACCCGGTTCCAGCATAGTTTTCCCGTTTTAGTAAAATACACCAATCACCACTTGATAGCGACAATCTAATTTAAATTAAATTGTAAATGGTAAGGGTTGTTGTTAACTTGATAGTTATAATCATTTTGAAAGAACAATGACAAGTAGATTAGTAATCAATGTATTCATAATAGTATAATTTCAAATTTATAATAATTACACATTGAAAATCCTGGATTCCCAAATGCTTTTTGAGTATAATTATATTCATATATATATATATATGTATATTTGTATATATATATATATATATAAGCAAACGTATGTCAAAATTTTTGAGCTGACAAAAAAGTGTTTGATTATGAAATTATCAAACACTTTTGATCCAAAACCGGAGTTTGTGAACGATATAGAATTTTCTTGATTTAGTCCATAACTTCATCGTCTCTGCTCTGCATTTTAATAATGAAGTGGGTAGTATAACATCTCACAGACGACGGACATGAGCAATGGCATGGATATCCATGGTGTAGACGTTATGGATGAGGCACCACAGATTGTAATTCATCAGTTACCCTCACTACACTTCATGTCGAACAGCTACATTTTTAGATTTAGCACATTTTAAGGTTGTCTCAAATGTCTTCAATTTAAGCGTAGGTACCAGTATTTGTTGAAGTGTCGTGAATGATGATCTCATTAACCTTACGGTTGAGGCAAAGGGCGCTAGTACCATAGCATAAAGTAAGCAAAATCAGAAGTCGATACACTATGATGTTTGAGTAGCGAGAAGTATCCATTTTGCCTGTAAGATTTGGAGTTACGAATATGAATCGGTTATAGATTTGTGGGAACTAGGTTATTATTCTTTTGTACACGAATCAAATCAAATAATATTGCGACATTAGTTTGTGAAACTTCAGTTTTGCTTCAGCAATGTTGCATATTTTCATGACTAGGGAGATGGGAAGAAGGAGAGTTATGATTTCCACGCGTGGGTAAGTATGTAGTCAAAAATTCTATTTCACAAGCTACAGCTTGAACAGCTTGATAATTGATACTTTCTCGACTTGTCTTAATGATATAGGTGACACTCGGTATACTAAAATTGTATAACTATAATCAAAACTGTGTTTTTTGTTTCCGGGCCCAATGACGTCTGATTCGGAAATTTGATAGCACAACTAAAGCCTCGTTCTTTTCAGTGTTTTTCAAAAATGTTCTTATTGTATACCTTACAGTAGATAGTATTTAACAATAAAACTAAGTTGTTTGTTCATGTACGCAGGCAGATTTTCAATACACATTTCATTTCTTTATTACATATCCTCAACTTTATTCTTTCGTATAGTTGAGGTATTGGAATTTTACACAGGTGAATAGAGCTATTTACTCTTCTCCAGGGGTGACTTCAGAGTTTTATTCGCCCTGACGGAAAGGAAAAAGTATGTGCCCTCCCCCCACACAAAATATTAATTTTGCGTTTCTCATGACACTGAGGCTGCCTCACGTGCATACCGCCTGCTCTGATCAATTTATTATATAAAAAATTAAAAAAATGACGTCAAGAATGTTGACTCTGTACTTCCACGCAACTTCAAACGATGCATGTGTTACAGAATCGCAACCTCAACAGTGGCAGTGGCTATGTCGCAACATGTTTATCTTTCATCGTCTTTGCGATCGATGCTGGTAGGTATTGAATATATTTCCGTTAAGTCTTGAGGGCAAACGTACAGAAAAATGTATGTGTGAAATAAGTCTAATAACTGCGAAAATGAAGTTTGAATTATATTTTGTTTTTAATTTTCCTGTAGCTTCAGTAATATGTCAAAATTTCATCAAAATCCGAGCGGGACATTGCAAGTCTTATATGTATATAAAGGCCAAGGATTAGCGGACAAAAGACATTTTCCTATTTTCCTGACTAATTATAGGAACAAGTGTGCAGACCACTCAAACCAATTCCATGCATGTGGTGGTGCACCTGTTAATCCTATCGGATAATTTTTAACGTAAAAGGGATGCTTTTTTTCAGACACACAAATCAGGGGTTTAATATACTCGAACATAGTGATTGTTAAAAAAAACGCTTCTCATTTTTTAAACGACCAAGGTTAGGAAGCAAAAATTCGAGGTGATGAAATGTATGTACAAAAGAAAAGGTAGGCAACTTGACGTTTCGTTTTGAAGCTCCTTATGAGTTCTTTATAACCCCTAAAATGGCGTACTGACAGAGTATCAAAGTTGAACGTTTTTAAGCATTGAATCCCTTCTACAACTCAACAACCAATTATCAATGTCATAACAGTCTTCTCTTCTTGGATGCATTTATACAAGGTGGCGCAAAAGTAACGTCATAATTTGAAGAGCGCCAAATGTCACTGTGCCTTGAAATTTATTATATAGTTATATATACAGTTATATATACAGAATTAGTTGTCAATAAGCCATGGAGCGATATTCACCTCAAAAAGTGAAATTATTGATATTGCTTATCTGACAAATTTCCAGTCTGTTGATTTAACGCAGCGTGAATTTCGTCGTCGTTTTCCTCGCCGTTGTTTTTTATGTGCTCTAACAAATAAGCATTTAGTTGAGCGCCTCGTGCAAACAGGGCCCACTACAGATGTCACAATAAGTGATTGTCGGACAAGGTTAACTTACTCTGTATCAAAAATTATAATGAACGACGAAGCCCAATTCCACTTAAGTGGTTATGTTAACAAACATAATTTTTTTCTTTTTTCTTTCTGGGGCACTGAGAATCCTCATGAAATGCATGAATAGTCATTGCATACCCTCAAACTGACTGTTTGGTGCGGCATTTTTTAGTGAAAAATTGATGGTCCTTCCTTTTTTGAAGAGTCCGATGGCACCACCGTAACCGAAACTGGTAAGCATTACAGGCGGATGCTAAACGAGTTTTTTTTTGTCGCAAGCTGTTGCATTAGGTGTCAATCGTTTTTGATTCCAACAGGACGGAGCACTCGCTCCCACAACTCGGGCAACGATGGAGATTCTGAAACACCAATCTCCCAGTCGAGTGATCTCGGGTTTTGTGGATTTGAACTGGCTGACTAAATCGCTAGATCTAATAGCACTAGACTTCTTCCTGTGTTTTTTTTTTAAATCTCGCGTTTACCACAACAAACCACGAATCTTGCACACTTGAAAGCTAACATTGGAGAAGAAATCGCCAATTTGGTGCTAAATGTTTTGCGAGTAACAATTTAAAATGCCGTAAATGGGCGCAATTATACATAGACTCGGGAGGTGGCCATTTGACCGATATTATTTTTTCCAATTAATGTCATCAGTTTTACACTTTCAAATAAACTTTTTTCGAAAACGTATCTCTTATTTTCATTTAGAACAAACAGCCAATTTAAATTATGACATTACTATTGGGCCACCTTGTAAAAATTCATAATAAAATATGAAACATTCCATTTAACACGTTAAACGTCATGGCGATCCCATGGGACCTCTTGACAACGGGCCTATCACGCCACGGCGGTCCGTATGGACCGCTTTGTATTTAATTTATTTCCAAGGTGATTCCAGCCAGAGGTCCATATTTAAATTCATTTTAGCGTTAGATATGGACCGCTGTGCCTTGTATGGATTATAACCATATGCCAACTTTTTGGTGTATTTTTGTTTCAATTTTTTTTTGATTCCCATCTTTCATTTCCTACTAAGTCTACATAATGATTTTACAAAAACAAACAAGATTCCAGTGAAAATGCATATATACAGATATATATACAGGGTGTCCGGAAAAAAGTGTGCACTATTCTACCAGCGGTTTCTAGAGCTTAAAATCGGAAGAAAAGTTTATATAAACATAGGTCGACAAACGTCCCTTAAGGGCGCTACGGTCTTTTAAAGGGGCTCCCCTGAAGATGTTTTTTTCTTAATATTTCCGAAACGTGTTGAGATAGACATAAAATTTGGTATCCTAGCTTAGTTTTTTATGCTGGATTTGAAAATATTAACAATTTTGGACAGTTTTGTTTGGAAGCGTATGTAACAGGCACGGACTCGGGTTATTTTAGCCCCAAAATTTGTATGTGATTCTATTTTTGAAATTCGATTTTAGAATTTGAAAATTTATGGTTTTCTACATAAAAAAGGTACTCGCATTGAATATCGATAAATTGTGCCATTTTTGAATAAAATCAAACTAAAAAATTTGTCACATGATAGGAAATGTACTGCGAATTTAAATTAATTGTTGATTATACATAGTTAGCCATGAACAAAAGTTGTTTTCATCTGTTATGAATTATTTGACGTTAAGCTGACATTGTTAGCAGTGTAAAATTACTAGATTAAAATCAAAATTTTTATTACATCGATTTAAAATGCCAAGATTTACAGACAGAGAACTGACTGACATGCATTTTGTGTACGGGTTTTGCAAAGGCAGTACATTGGCAGCCGTAAGAGAATATCAAAGAAGATTTCCCAATCGCATAGTACCTGGACGTCGAATGTTTACTGATATTCACCGGAATTTGTCAAACCATGGAAGTTTTCAGCGCATGCAGGACTCAGGAAGGCCACTCGGAAATCATCGTATGGATATTGCTTTAAATATGTTTGAAAATAATCCGCAAATAAGCATACGAAATGTTTCAGAAACTATGGATATACCTCGATCAATAGTAAGAAAAACTGATGAATCC